TCTGAATGCACTGTACATACTGTTTATACTGTACTGGATATACTGTACCCAGCAGAAATGTTTTGATCAGACACACAAAGGGAGAGATGGAGCAAGAGCTATAGGAAAAAAGAGAGAGAGGGGTAAAGTGAAGTAGAGTGTGAGTAAGTGGCAGCTCCTCTGCCCATTCTTTCAGCTCATCCAGTTTTAAAAGCCTGTCGAAGTAAGGGGCCAAGCGATATGACTATCAAGGGCTGGCCAAATGAAATCAACAATTAACCATCCTGTCTGTTACAATCTAGCTAAGTAAATGAACACTTCATTGCGTGCTGTGCTCGTGGGTATCACTGTTGGCGGTGGTGGAGGGAGCTAGCTATGAAGCTCTGAATAACAGAAGAGATGGCAGTATTACAGGGAATGGAGCGATGGTAGTACTGCCTAGTGCCTACAGTGCATCAGTATAGAGTAGAGTCAGTGGTGAGATTCACAGGACAGTCCAATGGAGTCAGGGCTATGTGCTGTATGTTTGTAGAGGGACATTGCATCCTAATTGTTGATGTTGCTTTTATATCACTTGCACAGGCAGTTGACTTTTAGCTACTTTTATTGTGTGTAGAGTTTGATGTCAGTTTTACCAAGCCCTAACATAATATACAACCGGTGTCATATTGCTCTGTGTCATATTGACACCGTCTGGTTCATTCACGTCAATGGTTGTGGTTAACGGTGTGTGTATAGTTGGAGCCGTGGTGGTGGAGTGTGTGCCGTGTGTAGGGAAAGGGGGATACCTAGTCAGTTGTACAACTGAATGCATTCAACTGAAATGTGTCTTCCGCATTTATCCCAACCCCTCTGAATCAGAGAGGTGTGGGGGGCTGCCTTAATCGACATCCACGGCACCTGGGGAACAGTGGGTTAACTGCCTTGCTCAGGGGCAGAGCGACAGATTCGATCCAGCAACCTTTCTTGGATTCAATCCAGCAACCTTTCAGTTACTGGCCCAACGCTCCTACCCGCCAGGCTACCTGCCGGTGCTCTGACACCTCAGGCTTGGCCGCTCCTGGATGCTTAGTTCTGGAGCTCTCTCTCTTCTCTCTGTCTCTCTCTCTATCTTGCAAACTCACACACACATACACTTAGGTACACCCATCTAGGACCGGGTCGGGCCTGTTGCCTCCAGAACTGCCTGAATTCTTCGGGGCATAGAAACGTTGCCTAATTGGTATCAAGGGACCTAACGTGTGCCAGAAAAACATTCCCCACACCATTACACCACCACCGCCACCAGCATGTACCGTTGACACCAGGCAGGATGTGAACATGGACTCATGCTGCTTACACCAAATCCTGACGCTGCCATCACCATGACGCAGCAGGAACTGGGATTCGTCAGACGAGGCAATGTTTTTCCACTCCTCAATTGTCTAGTGTTGGTGATCACGTGTCCACTGGAACCGCTTCTTCTTGCTTTTAGCTGATAGGAGTGGAACCCAGTGTGGTTGTCTGCTGCAATAGCCCATCCGTGACAAGGACCGACGAGTTGTGCATTCCGAGATGCCGTTCTGCACACCACTGTTGCACTGCGCCATTATTTGCCAGTTTGTGGCCCGCTTGTTAGCTTGCACGATTCTTGCCATCCTCCTTCGACCTCTCGTCAACTAGCTGTTTTCGCCCACAGGACTGCTGCTGACTGGATGTTTTTTGTTTGTCGCACCATTCTCGGTAAACCCTAGACACTGTCCTGCGTGAAAAGCCCAGGAGGCCGGCTGTTTCTGAGAGACTGGAACTGGCGCACCTAGTAACGACGATCATACCATGCTCAAAGTCGCTTAGGTCACTCATTCTGTCAACTCTAACGTTAAATTAAAAAGTAACTGAATGTCTCTGCCTTTCTGCCTGCTTTATATAGCAAGCCACGTGACTCACTGTCTGTAGGAGCGATCCATTTTCGTGAAAGGGGTGGTGTACCTTATAAACTGTCCACTCAGTGTATATGTAATACCCTATACTACATTAGCATACGTGATAATGTATATAGAAAGACATATTCTCCACAGGGATACCTTCTTAGACACATACCACTCTGTTGTGAGGGTATAGTAGGTAAGGTGGTTAAGGAGGAACATGAATGGAGAATTTCAGATAAAGCAGTGTATTCATCGTCTGTAAAGAATAGTTTGTGAAGAAAAGCCTCGTTTGTGAAGAGCCACTTGTTAAAGTTTTTGAACTTTTACTGTTGAAAAGCATTATCCTATGTGTAAATACAGTAAAGTACACATACTAAAGGGTAAAACATTTGTTTAACCAAATGTGATTTTTTTAGACACAACCGCAAAGTCCAAGGAGTATGGCATTCAAAGAGTTGGTTTGATGGGAATCTGTGATGTCATCAGCCTCACCCTTTGATTGAGGAGCAATAGAGGAGCAATAGAGAACAAAAGAGGAAGTGTGTGTCGTCGTCCCCCCCCCCCCCCCCCCCCCCCCACTTGTGCTATGTCATGACTTACACTACCAGTCAAAAGTTTGGATACACCTACTCATTCAAGGTTTTTCTTTATTTTTACTATTTTTTTACATTTTATAATAATAGTGAAGACATCAAAACTATGAAGGAACACATGGAATCATTCAACCAAAAATATGTTAAACAAAATATATTTTATATTTGAGATTCTTCAATTAGCCACCCTTTGCCTTGATGACAGCTTTGCACACTCTTTGCATTCTCTCAACCAGCTTCATGAGGTATTCACCTGGAATGCATTTAAATGAACAGTTGTGCCTTCTTAAAAGTTAATTTGTGGAATTTCTTTCCTCCTTAATGCATTTGAGCCAATCAGTTGTGTTGTGACAAGGTGGGGGGCGGGATATACAGAAGATGGCCCTATTTGGTAAAGACCAAGTCCATATTATGGCAAGAACAGCTCAAATAAGCAAAGAGAATCTACAGTCCATCATTACTTTAAGACATGAAGGTCAGTCAATACGGAACATTTCAAGAACTTTGAAAGTTTCTTCAAGTGCAGTCGCAAAAAACATCAAGCGCTATAATGAAACTGGCTCTCATGAGGACAGCCACAATAATGGAAGACCCAGAGTTACCTCTGCTGCAGAGGATAAGTTCATTAGAGTTACCAGCCTCAGAAATTGCAGCCCAAATAAATGCTTCACAGAGTTCAAGTAACAGACACATCTCACCATCAACTGTTCAGAGGGGACTGTGTGAATCAGGCCTTCATGGTCGAATTGCTGCAAAGAAACCACTACTAAAGGACACCAGTAAGAAGAAGAGACCTGCTTGGGCCAAGAAACACGAGCAATGGACATTAGACCGGTGGAAATCTGTCCTTTGGTCTGGAGTCCAAATTTGAGATTTTTGGTTCCAACCGCCGTGTCTTTGTGAGACGCGGTGTGGGTGAACGGATGATCTCCGCATGTGTAGTACCCACCGTAAAGCATGGAGGAGGAGGTGTTATGGTGTGGGGGTGCTTTGCTGGTGACACTGTCTGTGATTTATTTAGAATTCAAGGCACACTTAACCAGCATGGCTACCACAGCATTCTGCAGCGATACGCCATCCCATCTGGTTTGGGCTTAGTGGGACTATCATTTGTTTTTCAACAGGACAATGACCCAACACACCTCCAGGCTGTGTAAGGGCTATTTGACCAAGAAGGAGAGTGATGGAGTGCTGCATCAGATAACCTGACCTCCACAATCCCCCGACCTCAACCCAATTGAGTCGGTTTGGGATGAGTCGGATGGCAGAGTGAGGGAAAAGCAGCCAACAAGTGCTCAGCATATGTGGGAACTCCTTCAAGACTGTTGGGAAATCATTCCAGGTGAAGCTGGTTGAGAGAATGCCAAGAGTGTGCAAAGCTGTCATCAAGGCAAAGGGTGGCTATTTGAAGAATCTCAAATATAAAATATATTTTGATTTGTTTAACACTTTTTTGGTTACTACATGATTCCATATGTGTTATTCCATAGTTTTGATGTCTTCACTATTATTCTACAGTGTAGAAAATAGTAAAAATAAAGAAAAATCCTTGAATGAGTAGGTGTGTCCAAACTTTTGACTGGTACTGTACCTGGACCTCTTATTGAGATGTGCCTTTTGTTAAGTAAATCAGGTGTTCAGGAAACACAATTGGTATTTAAAGGCTCATAGTGTGAGCCAATGTGCAATTTGGCGCATGTACTGTACACACAGTGAAACACTTTCTCTCTCACACACACACGCTTACGCACAACACACACACACAAAAAGCACACGCAAGCAGACCGATGCTAGCTGTAATGGGCTTTTTCCTCTGTGCTCTCTCTCTGACCTCCATTTAGTCGTCCAGAGAGAGATAAAGCTGTCTGATGAGCAGGCCATTATTACTGCCTGGCCAGTTCACCACCTCACCTCACCTCTCTGCCTGTCAACACACACACACACACACACACCTCAATCAGCGCACGTGCCTTAGTGTGTACGTGCTCCGTATGTGTGTACTTGAAACAAGGGGGGAATAAATGTAGTTACCTTCAGTTCAATTACTGGTCCTTAAACTAACAGAGCTATGAAAACGTAGATAAAACCTCAACTTAGAGTGTTGCAGTGTTTTATCAGCTACTAAAGGACACTGACTGATACTGGCTCAGCAGGATCAATACAGCAGCTGTTTTATAGATCTCAGTCTGAACTACACTACAGATGTGTGATAATAACTATTGGGTAACAGTCTGGACACCTTCATGGTGCCCCCTAGCAGCTGCAGTGGGGAGTTAGGTCTGAGTAAGGACACAGCCATAAAGCAGTTGGCATGTTGTGCCCACTGAGGCTGACTCAAAATGTATATTTGATCTCTGATCCTTGGGGTAGTAAGAAATGCTTTATTGGCATGACAAAGTACTTGTTAAAGCAATACTCTCTCTCCATCCTTCTTCCTCTCTTCCACATACCCAGGCTGTGCTGATTGGTTCTCTCTTTCCTTCTCTCCTGATTGTGTTCTCTCTCTCCTTCTCTCCCTCAGATCCAACGTTCCAGGAACAAGCAGATGAAGGAGATGTTCCCAGATGGTTTTGGGATCCACCACGCTGGGATGCTGCGTGCTGACCGTAGCCTGATGGAGAGCATGTTCTCCAGGGGTTACCTCAAGGTTCTGTGCTGTACCGCCACACTGGCCTGGGGAGTCAACCTGCCTGCACACGCTGTCATCATCAAGGTTGGTTTGTGCGCGCGTTTCAAGTTTTGTTAGTCGTACAGGATACACATGGTATACACTGTCCAACGAAAGGCTTACTTGCATTGGGTGCGTGCGTGCGCTTGTGGTAGTTTGTGTGTGAGAGGGAGTTTTTCCGTCTGATTGAGGTATGAACTTGTAAGTCTGTATCATATGCCCTTCACTCTTAGAAGACTGTAAATCTGTGTAGGTGTCTGTATTAAAACAAGCAGACATGTTTGCCCATATGGACTGTATTATCTCTCCAAAGCCACTGATATCCGGCCACTCTTGTTCCCGTGGTAACATCAACAGGGCACCCAAATCTACGATGCTAAGCGTGGTACCCTGGTGGACCTGGGCATCCTGGACGTGATGCAGATCTTCGGGCGTGCCGGGCGGCCCCAGTTCGACAAGTACGGCGAGGGCACCATCATCACGGCACATGACAAGCTGAGCCACTATCTCACCCTGCTCACCCAGCAGAACCCCATAGAGAGCCAGTTCCTAGAGACCATGGCTGACAACCTCAACGCTGAGGTAGGGACACACGCCACCGTCAATAATATAGCTGGTAAAGGTCTTATCCACCAGTCACACATCTTCAGGACCTCTCCTTTAACAATCATACCAGTGTTTCCACTTCAGTCATTTAGCTGTGGCGCTGCACCACGGCAAAATCATTGCCGCTACACAAAGAAAAAAGAAACATCAACAAATATTTCTGCCAAGGTGCACTTTGAAGATGCTAGAACAGTCCAAATGTACTTTTCCACTGCAAACAAAGCGAGTAATGAATTTTTAAAAAACAGACAAACCCATAGTGAAATAGTTTGTCTATTTACCTAGTCGCCTTGTTGTAGTGTGTTCTATACAAGGTAAATATTCCTCTCAAGGCACGTTCCAGCTGCGAGTGCCATAGCGAGGGAAACATGCATTCTGACAAGCAGTCAATGCACAACAATTCTTAATACAGTCGCGGGAAAAACAGCAGTTGTAATGGCCTTTGTTAAAAATAGGCGGATCCCAGCTTTCCATTCCTACTTTATTTCTCAACTCCTAAATATGCGCAAACTGCACCATTTTAAACCCATAGTTTTTTTAGCATTGGCATGGTTAAGCTCAGCAGTAATTATACTGTGAGTGCATAGGGGAGGGTGGGCTAAATGTAACACAGGGCAATTATAGGGTAACTTGGGGTAAAACGCCACCCTCTTAGTTAAGCAAGAGTAGTGTCAACCAGGGAAAGGGGTTTCTGTGAGAAGTACAGGCAGGGGTGTGTTACCCCAAGTTACCCTAACAGGTAGGCCTACATTATATTCACTGTGTTTATGCAATTTTCTGTGGACATAAAATTAATCATTATAAATGATCAGCCCAATAGGGTAAATGCAGATAGGAAACCCCATGCTTCAGCCTATTTATTTATAGCCACTATGCTGCATCAGTTAGGCTACAGGTGATACTGCTTATTGCTAAAGGCATACCTGATAATATGGACCATGCATAGGCTATATGCATGGTCCAATATGTAAAAAATATTTTTAAGGGTGTTACACATTATCTGCCGCTAATAGTGGAATGATAGTGTCTCACAGTATTACTTACCTGCCAGTGTTGTGATTGGCTGTGATATTTGCCTATTGATTTCTGCTGCCGAAGCGGCATCTGTTGTCAAAATGAGGAAGCTGTTCTGACTTTGTGGATGTTTTATCTAGTGCAGATCGCTCTGTCATTTCCTGGTTGCTAAAATTCTACACTGTTCGATCAATTTCAGTGTATGTGAGAAAACAAGCACTGAGTAGTGTAGGGAATCATTGTCACTGAAATCACTGTGAAATTTATTTTCAATAACTTTTGTTTTTACAGCTGTTTGAAGCTGGTGGACCAAAACAAATGTTTTATTGAAAATATATTTCACAACAATCTAGATGGTACAATGATTCCCTACACTATTCAGTGCTTGTTTTTTCACATAAACTGAAATTGAGCAAACAGTGTTGAATTTTAGCGACCAGGAAATGACAGAGCGATCTCCACTAGATAACACAGCCACAAAGTCAGAACAGCGTTCCCAGTTTGACATCAGATGCCACTCTGGCCCCCTTCAATCACGTTATTTTCTCATCTCCAACCATATACCCTTTTCACTAAATAAACACAGTACAGTAAGTCACCACTAGATGGAACCCACAATAATTCAATGAGGACTCATCGAGAAGGAATCAATGCTGAGTATGGAATCTCCACCAGGTGCTGCTAGGGGGCTGAAATGACTGAAGGTGAATGTGATGTTATTGATCTCTCTCTTTCTCCCTCTCTCTGCAGGTGTCACTAGGGACTGTGACTAACGTGGAGGAGGCAGTGAGATGGCTGAGTTACACCTACCTGTACATCCGCATGAGAGCCAACCCGCTGGCCTACGGGATCAACCACAAGGCCTACCAGGTACACGCGCATGCACGCACACACACACACACACACACACACACGCATACACACACACACTCTACTGTACACTCTCTCCTCTTACTGTTCTGTCTCTGTGTTAGATGGACCCAGGTCTGGAGCTGTACCGTAAGGAGCTGGTGGTGATGGCAGCCAGGAAGCTGGACAAGGCCAGGATGATCCGCTTTGAGGAGAGGACAGGATACTTCGCCTCCACTGACCTGGGCAGAACCGCCAGTCACTTCTACATCAAATACAACACCATGGAGGTACACCAGAGTTCCATAACATGATATTATATTATATGTACTATGTTGTATTGTACACTGAGTATACAAAACATTAAGAACACCTGCTCTTTCCATGACATTGACTGACCAGGTGAATCCAGGTAAAAGCTATGATCCCTTATTGATGTCAGTTGATAAATCAATTTCAATCAGTGAAGATGAAGAGGAGGAGGCAGGTTAAAGAAGGATTTTTAAGCCTTGAGACAGTTGAGACATGGATTGTGTATGTGTGCCATTCAGAGGGTGAATGGGCAAGAAAAAATATTGAAGTGCCTTTGAACGGAGTATGGTAGTAGATGCCAGGCGTACCGGTTTGTGTCAAGAACTGCAACGCTGCTGGGTTTTTCCACGCTCAACAGTTTCCTGTGTGTATCAAGAATGGTCCACCACCCAAAGGACATCCAGCCTACTTGATACAACTGTGGGAAGCAATGAAGTCAAAATCCCTGTGGAATGCTTTCCATGAGTCCATGCCCTGACGAATTGAGGCTGTTCTGAAGGCAAAAGGGGGTGAAACTCAATATTAGGAAGGTGTTCCTAATGTTTGGTGTACTCCAATGTAGTATTATATTATTGTAACCGGGTATAAATACCCTTCTGTGTAGGTGTAATATGGCATGGTATTATCTAAAAAAAAGCTCATGGTGGTACAGTAACATGCAATATACAACTAGATAACAGCTGTTCCTTATGTCAATTTGATGGTTGTGTTTGTCCACCTCCTCCATGCAGACGTTCAATGAGCTGTTCGACTCCCAGAAGACAGAGGCTGACATCCTCAGCATCGTCTCCAAGGCTGAGGAGTTTGAACAGGTCAAGGTGAGAGGTCACAGGTCACTCTGAGAGGTCACTCATCACGCATTATAAACTGGGTGGTTCGAGCACTAAATTCTGATTGGCTGACAGCTGTGGTATATCAGACCGAATACCACAGGTATGACAAAACATTTATTTTTACTGCTCTAATTACGTTGGTAACCAGTTTATAATAGCAATAAGGCACCTCGGGGGTTTGTGATATATGGGCAATTTACCACGGCTAAGGGCTGTATCCAGGCACTCCGCGTTGCGTCTTGCATAAGAACAGTCCTTAGCTGTGGTATATTGACCATATACCACACCTCCTCGTGCCTTATTGCTTAATTATAGAATGCTGCAGGACACCTGCTCAACAGTATAGCTAGGTCTTGATATAGTTTGAGTACCCATGTGGAAAGACTCCTGTGTGTGTGTGTGTGTGTGTGTCCGTGTGTGTTTTTCCAGGTGCGTGATGAGGAGATGGAGGAGCTAGAGCAGATGCTGTGTAACTACTGTGAGCTGCCTGCTGCAGGCGGAGTGGAGAACGGATACGGCAAGATCAACATCCTACTGCAGACCTACATCGGACGGGGAGAGGTGGACAGCTTCTCCCTCATCTCAGACCTGTCCTACGTAGCACAGGTAGGTTATAGGCACAGCACCACACACACACACACATTACACACACACACACACATTACACACACGCACTCTCTGTCTGTTTCTCACATACACACACACTCATACAAACTGAACCATACCTGAAGAAACCTCAACATGTGTACATACTCTGCTTCACCCCCAAACTGAACTGAGATAGCCTAGCCCCTCTGAGGGGTTCAGCTGTACCCCTGTGTCCCCTGCTAGGTGGTGCCACTGCCAAGACTTCCCCTTCCCTAAGCCAGCAGCACATGTGCTCCGCGTCCTAGAGCAGAATGTTTCAATCATACTGGTGTACTGATAGGGGTTTATAAATGGTGTCTTAACTAATCATATCATACACATCAATAAACGTGTTTCCTGTTTGTACCAGCATCTCCATTGTTTTCAGAGGGATCAAGAGGCTTTCATGAACTGTCACAGTTAATCTGCCATGCCGGCATCTCGGCATTATGCTCTTTATGAAAATCAAATGGTTTGATATATCTGATGGAAAGTAATATGGCTGGTGCATATTTCACAGTGACTGATAGCCTGGAATCTTTTTGGCATTTTGAGTTTTTTCTCTCCCCTCAGTCCCATCCCCTCTTCCCATCCTCTGCTGAACCCATCTATCCATGGTTTCTCGTGGTAACTGATTCCATGTGGCTGAATATTTGGAATAGTTCACAGCAAATTCCCTCTTTGCTCCTATTTCGCCCGATTTCAGATGTGCAGCCGGTTTGGATGGCTGTGTCCGAGAGGCAGGCGGTCATAGTGGAATAGAGGGGATCTGATGATTAATCCAGACTGAGGACTGATAGGTCCTGTTGCCGTATGATACTCCCACTGCCACCACACACCAACAGAGACTCTCACACACACACATAAGCACAGAGATAAAGTTGCATACATATATGTGCACACACTCATAAACATTGGCAGACTCACTATCTCTCGCTCTCCCTCTCTCACACACACACACACACTGACAGAGGCTAACTCCCTGTCTCTCATGCATACACACACACTCCTCAATGGCTTTAGCAACTGGATGATAGATAGAGCAGTTCTGCAGCCCGGTGTACTTGACCGCAGGACACCAGGAGTTCTCCTGAGAGAGTAGGTTATTGTACGTGAGCGCTGAGAGACCTGAGACCACAGTTCACCTATGTTTACCGCATCAATGCTCTTAAAGACACATTGACACAGAATAACTGGAGAAGCAAGACAGCTAAAACATCAATCTCAATAATCTCCCTGGTTGGAACTATGTTGGTGCCGTGACTCGGACTGTGAGGACTGATGTGTTTTGGCTGTTGGTTGTTATTTGGAGTATGAGTGTAGGCTTAGTAAGGGTGTTAGTGTAGGGTTTTCTCTCCAAAGGGTTTGATGTAGGAGCTCGGTGGCCCTAGTGGCCTTTTAACCAGCAGCAGACCAACATCTGGCCCAGCAGGTGTTTCTGTGTCTCTGCCTGTCTATATGCCTGTCTGTCTCTATGTCTGCCTGCCTGCCTGTCTCTGTCCATCCTCCCACTGAACCACATGTCCGGACACAGGCAGACCTGGCCAATCTAACACAGATAGCAGCCTCGCCTCGACTTATCCATCAAAACAGAACCAGACCCCAACCAATCAATCACAGCACGGCCAGACTCTACCAATCCATCAGATGTCATTAACACCTGCCCAAATCAATCAGAGCCCAGCCAGGTCAGATCTGACCAGTTTATCAGCAAGCAGCACCAACCACCTGACGCATCCATCAGGACAGACATGAGCAATCCCTGCACAGCCGGCTGACCCATGTTCTGGCCTATCTTTCCTCTCGATTACATGATTACCTGCTGTAAATTCATCTCGCATTCTCACACATTGTGACATCTGCTTAGCCATGTTGTATTTTACCTGCTAAACACTATTCCAATTGTGACTATCTGTCTGGCCTTATTTTTCTACTATAGAATGCCACTCAAATTGTAACTGTGTGTCTATTCGTCCCTGTGTAGAACGCAGCTCGTATCGTCAGGGCTCTGTTTGAGATTGCTCTGAGGAAGCGCTGGCCTGCCATGACCTACCGGCTGCTCAACCTGTGTAAAGTGATAGACAAGCGTCTGTGGGGCTTCGCTCACCCCCTGAGACAGTTCTCCATCCTGCCTCACAACGTGCTGGCTCGTCTGGAGGAGAAGAAACTCACTGTGGACAAACTGAAAGACATGCAGAAGGACGAGATAGGTGAGACAATACTGGGCCAGATGTAGTGTACTACCAAATTAGACATGAATTCTATTGTGTTCTGTAGAGCTGTGTGTGTGCGCGCGTGTGTGTGTGTGTGTGTGCGCGCGCTCGCTCGTGCAGCGTGCTGTAGTAACACCACTCCCCTCTCTCTGTGTGTCCCAGGTCACATGCTCCATCACGTGAACATCGGGTTGAAGGTGAAGCAGTGTGTCCACCAGATCCCTTCCATACTGATGGAGGCCACCATCCAACCAATCACACGCACCGTGCTCAGGGTCCGCCTCCAGATCACCCCCGACTTCAAGTGGCACGATCAGGTAACCATGTAGACCTCACCTAGGATCACCTCGATGTCTCTTCTCTCTCTCTCTCTCTCTCTCTCTCTCTCTCTCTCTCTCTCTCTCTCCTCTCTCTCTCTCTCTCTCTCTCTTCTCTCTCACACACACACTACACAACAGTAGACATTATCAGAGCACTTTCTAAGTGTGTCTAAATGCTGCTAACAGTAGAAATGTGTTAGTTAGTGTGAACTGTCAGTAGTCTATCAGCATGGAGCTATCCTCTCCCCCAGTGGCCCTGCTCCTCTCTTCCTCCAGCCAGTGGTAGTGTTAGAGTACTCAGCCAGTGGTAGTGTTCGAGTACTCAGCCAGTGGTAGGTGAGGACTCAGCCGTCCCAGTGGTAGTGGTAGAGAGTTACTCAGCCGGTGTTAGTGTTAGAGTTACTCAGACGGTGGTAGTGTCGAGTAATAAGCCAGTGGTAGTGTTAGAGTAATCAGCCAGTGGTAGTGTTAGAGTACTCAGCCAGTGGTAGTGTTAGAGTACTCAGCCAGTGGTAGTGTTAGAGTACTCAGCCGGTGGTAGTGTTAGAGTACTCAGCCGGTGGTAGTGTTAGAGTACTCAGCCAGTGGTAGTGTTAGAGTAATCAACCGGTGGTAGTGTTAGAGTAATCAGCCAGTGGTAGTAGAGTAATCAGCCAGTGGTAGTGTTAGAGTACTCAGCCAGTGGTAGTGTTAGAGTACTCAGCCAGTGGTAGTGTTAGAGTAATGAGTGAAAAGTGGGAATCCCACTGCTGTTCTACCTCTGTAGCTTCTGCAAATAAACAAGGAGGAGCAGCCAGCTGCTGAAACAACCCTGCAGAGTCCCACCACTGTGTTTCCCTCTCATCACAGACTTTATCTCTGGAAGTGTTAGTCTACAATGGCTCTTTTTATTTTAATGGTTGAAAGTTGAATTTAAGGTTTATTTAAAGGGAAGATGGCTGATTCTAGATCAGTGTTTAGGTGCATCACCTTCTTCTAGTATTATCCTGCAACTTTTATACTACATTTGCTTGAGCCTGCCTGGTGTGCCAGATGGATGGGGCTTTCCACTTTTGGGACTATTCTATTGGTTCCATTGCGCCAGGCAAGATCATTCAAACACAGCTAAGTATTTGAAAGATTTCATATTCTATTAGAACCCAGGTCTGCTGTCCATAAGTAGAGCCATGTCCAACTAGCCTAAACCTGTCCAATGGAGGGAATATACAGTACATCATTCAATTGCGAATTAGGCTATATCTCTATGGAGATTGGAGTATATCATTGAGGCAGATGACTCCTGTAGTTTGTAAGGGAGTCAGGGTGGAATAGGAGGCCCATTGTAGCCAGGCTGCGTATGAAGATGAATGTTTGTGTGATTAGCAATGCATGCTCTGTTCATGGGAGAGTTGTAATGGAACACCCCCAGCTTAGCCAGTGATCCCTGCTGCATATGTACACACGCCTTGCTGTGCAGGCTAGCCAACACATGTAGAGACACATGAGATCTCCTTCTCCGTAACTCTAACCCAAGCCATGGACTCCAGGATATTGACTCATTCTAATAGGGAAACAGACAAGTTGGATGTCGTTTTTTCAAATATTAATGCATGTTTCCCCTCCCCCTTCAGGAGTATTTTTAGTTTTGGGTCATCCAAATGTTGTGCATTTAACATGAGTAGGACCCAGAATTGTTCCTGCTTCAGGTCACATGTTTGGGAATAACTCTTGGCCCTAATCAAGAGTAGCCTCCCTGATATCTTTATCAGGGCTCCCGAGTGGCGCAGCGGTCTAAGGCACTGCATCTCAGTGCTAGAGGCGTCACTACAGACCCTGGTTTGATTCCAGGCTGTATCACAATCTGGTGTGATTTGGGGGTCCCATAGGGCGGCGCACAATTGGCCATGTGTCGTCCGGGTTTGGCCGGGGTAGGCCGTTATTGTAAATAAGATTTTGTCCTAAACTGACTTGCCTAGTTAAATAAAGGTTTAAAAAATAAAAAAACATCAATCTTTAGACATTTACACGAGGGCTAGGGACCAGTCCAGAAGATGAAATTATAGCTGTTGTTTTAGTGTGTTTTGTCTGTGGAAACTGGACTGTCTCCTCTCTCCATGTGTCATAAACCAGTCTCCTGGACCTGTGGTCAGTTAGCCAGCCAGCAGTTGTTTCCACAGCAGAGGAAAGTAATTAGCGTACAGGTCAGTGTTCTACAGGGGGTCAGCTCAGAGCAGAGAGATACACAGTACAGTGCACCTCCTTCTCCTACTGAGGAGAGGGGGGAGGAGAGGGCTGTGGCTTCTGTTTGGAGTAACCCCAAAACCCATTCCTGAAGGTTTTACACACATGCACCACAACACACGGACCTACTAACAAATCCACAATTACATTGCATCGCTTTGAAATGCTACTATCTGGTTAAAAAACCTGGGAGTGCTCTGATCTTCTAATGCCACCGATTCTTCATGCTTCTGTCTCCCTCCTCCCTTCCTCTGCCTCTGCCTCTGCCTCTTCCTCTCCTCTCCTCTCCTCTCCTCTCCTCTCCTCTCCTCTCCTCTCCTCTCCTCTCCTCTCCTCTCCTCTCCTCTCCTCTCCTCTCCTCTCCTCTCCTCTCCTCTCCTCTCCTCTCCTCTCCTCTCCTCTCCTCTCCTCTCTCAGTGTCATGGTTCAGTGGGAGAGCCCTGGTGGCTGTGGGTGGAGGACCCCATCAACGATCACATCTACCACTCGGAGTACTTCCTCCTACAGAAGAAACAGGTGGGTTTCTGGGTAGCATTAGCTTCTAGAATGTGTCTGAGAGCCACTTGTTCTCCTGTGTTCCCTTGAGGTAGAAGTTGCCCCTAACTACAGATCTAGGATCAGATTACCTGACCCCTAATCCTAACCTTAACCATTATGGGTATGGAATAAATCTGACCCTGTATCAGTGGATATGGTTGAGCCTAGTCCTAGTCATACTTACCTTGTTGTGTGTGTGTTTTCCAGGTGGTGAGTGGGGAGCCCCAACAGGTGGTGTTCACCATCCCCATCTTTGAACCCATGCCCTCCCAGTACTACATCAGAGCTGTGTCAGACCGGTGGCTGGGTTCAGAGGCTGTCTGCATCATTAACTTCCAACACCTCATCCTGCCTGAGAGACACCCCCCACACACTGGTACTGTACAACATGCACACACACATTCAGACTTATGCACACACACGCAAACACACACACACATTGACTTCTTCACACACACACACACACACACACACACATTTACTTCTTCACACGCAAACACACACACACACATTGACTTCTTCACACACACACACAGACAGACAGGTGAACCCTCAGAAGTGTACAGATGAAACAACTCTTCATACTTCACACGTACACCTTTCTTTGTCTTTTTTCTTTGACAAATTAACCCAAACGTTGTCTCAATGTTGCCCTGTGGATTCTCAGAGCTGCTGGACCTGCAGCCGTTGCCCATCACCGCCCTGGGGAACCCGGAATACGAGAATCTGTACAAGTTCACCCACTTCAACCCCATCCAGACACAGATCTTCCACACGCTCTACCACACCGACACCAACGTCCTGCTGGGGGCGCCAACGGGCTCCGGTAAAACCATCGCTGCCGAGTTGGCCATGTTCCGAGTCTTCAACCAGTACCCTACCTCCAAGGTCTGTCTGCCTGCCACCCCCCCCCCCCCCCCCCCCTTCACTCTCTCCATCTCTCTCTTTTTCTCTCTCTATACATTTATCTCTGTTTATATCCTTCCTGTGTGTGTGTTCTCAGGTGGTGTACATTGCCCCTCTGAAAGCTCTGGTCAGGGAGAGGATCGAGGACTGGAAGGTCAGGATAGAGGAAAAACTGGGGAAGAAGTGAGTGAGACTCAGGGTTATAAGCATGGATTTCTGTATTCACATCTATCTAGCTATCTATCTATCGTCTCTTTCTCTCTCTCTCCTCCCTCACTCCCTTCCCTCTCTTCTCGTCCCCAGGGTTGTGGAGCTGACAGGTGATGTGACTCCAGACATGCGGGCCATCGCCGCGGCCGACCTGATCGTGACCACGCCAGAGAAGTGGGACGGCGTGAGTCGCTCCTGGCAGAACCGCAGCTACGTCCAGAAAGTAGCCATCCTCATCATCGACGAGATCCATCTGCTAGGTACCACAGCATAGTTCCACTTAGAAGCATATAGAGCGATCTTTCATATCTATCCATCTGGTTCTTGCCTCACAAACCCCATGCAATCAAAACTTTGTATAGAGCCTAAACTTTTACCCTCATAAACCCTCATACAAACAGAACCTTCTATAGAGCCTACAACTTTTACCCTCATAAACCCTCATACAAACAGAACCTTCTATAGAGTCTAAACTTTTACCCTCATAAACCCTCATACAAACAGAACCTTCTATAGAGCCTACACTTTTACCCTCATACAAACAGAACCTTCTATAGAGCCTTAACTTTTACCCTCATACATACAGAACCTTCTATAGAGCCTTAACTTTTACCCTCATACAAACCTTCTATAGAGCCTAAACTTTTACCCTCATAAACCCTCATACAAACAGAACCTTCTATAGAGCCTTAACTTCTACCCTCATAGACCCTCATACAAACAGAACCTTCTATAGAGCCTACACTTTTACCCTCATACAAACAGAACCTTCTATAGAGCCTTAACTTTTACCCTCATACAAACAGAACCTTCTATAGAGCCTTAACTTTTACCCTCATACAAACAGAACCTTCTATAGAGCCTTAACTTTTACCCTCATACAAACAGAATTCTTATAGAATTCAAGAGTTATAATACTACTCTCCATAGTGAAGTGCTTTGTCAACTCTCTCACACTGGATCGTACCACTGTGTCTGTATCCCAGGGGAGGACAGAGGTCCTGTGCTGGAGGTCATAGTTTCCAGGACCAACTTCATCTCCTCCCACACCAAAAAGACTGTCCGCGTGGTGGGCCTGTCCACGGCCCTGGCCAACGCACGAGACCTCGCCGACTGGCTAGGGATTGGACAGGTGAGCTCTACATAGCAACCACATACTAGACACTACTAGCATCGTGAAACGCCGCTCCTGGTAGGAGTTGCACTAGGATCTAGGATCAGTTGTTTTATCTGAATCAGGCATTACAACAGTGTTATACCCTGATCATACCATCACGTTAGCCTCAGTTTCACATAGACAAGACATCTCCTGTAGTTTAAACAAGCTCACCCTTTCACCTTTTTGACCTCCTGTCCTGTGTTCAGATACAGTTCATGTTTGTGAGCTTTCCTGTTTCTATCATCATCAGTTGGAGGTTTTGGAATTGGCATTGGTGTTCTCAAGCCAACCTTTAACCACATGTTTTGTGTTAGTCAGTGTTTTTTAGGGTTCACTTATCCGCCTCCCCTTTCATATTTGATAAATGTATACAATAAGAGTTATTAGAATAATACCAACATTTTTGGCAGGGAATCCATGTTATAGTTTTGACCACAGCACAGTAATGGTTTGCAGTCCTGTTTCTCTGGAGCCATGCTGGAGTTGCTCTGGTAATCAACATAAATCACTGTACCAATACAGACAGATGACTTGGCCAGTCCCAATAATAATGATAGCAGTAATAATATCAGAATCATATCAGAAGGGTATTTAATAACCTCCCTGTCCACCGCAGAGAGAGATAGGAACTCCTGTATGTCTGCATGACCTACATGACCCCAGTCACCCATGAAAACCACACGTTGCCTGTGTTTTCTGGGCTATTGCCATGTCTTTACGTTCACTTAGTATGTTGTTTTTTAGATTAATTGTATATCTGCTGAAAAACATTATACAGTGGGGAAAAAATTTATTTAGTCAGCCACCAATTGTGCAAGTTCTCCCACTTAAAAAGATGAGAGAGGCCTGTAATTTTCATCATAGGTACACGTCAACTATGACAGACAAAATGAGAAAGAAAAATCCAGAAAATCACATTGTAGGATTTGTAATGAATTTATTTGCAAATTATGGTGGAAAATAAGTATTTGGTCAATAACAAAAGTTTCTCAATACTTTGTTATATACCCTTTGTTGGCAATGACACAGGTCAAACGTTTTCTGTAAGTCTTCACAAGGTTTTCACACACTGTTGCTGGTATTTTGGCCCATTCCTCCATGCAGATGTCCTCTAGAGCAGTGATGTTTTGGGGCTGTCGCTGGGCAACACAGACTTTCAACTCCCTCCAAAGATTTTCTATGGGGTTGAGATCTGGAGACTGGCTAGGCCACTCCAGGACCTTGAAATGCTTCTTACGAAGCCACTCCTTCGTTGCCCGGGCGGTGTGTTTGGGATCATTATCATGCTGAAAGACCCAGCCACGTTTCATCTTCAATGCCCTTGCTGATGGAAGGAGGTTTTCACTCAAAATCTCACGATACATGGCCCCATTCATTCTTTCCTTTACACGGATCAGTCGTCCTGGTCCCTTTGCAGAAAAACAGCCCCAAAGCATGATGTTTCCACCCCCATGCTTCACAGTAGGTATGGTGTTCTTTGGTTGCAACTCAGCATTCTTTGTCCTCCAAACACGACGAGTTGAGTTTTTACCAAAAAGTTATATTTTGGTTTCATCTGACCATATGACATTCTCCCAATCCTCTTCTGGATCATCCAAATGCACTCTAGCAAACTTCAGACGGGCCTGGACATGTACTGGCTTAAGCAGGGGGACACGTCTGGCACTGCAGGATTTGAGTCCCTGGCGGCGTAGTGTGTTACTGATGGTAGGCTTTGTTACTTTGGTCCCAGCTCTCTGCAGGTCATTCACTAGGTCCCCCCGTGTGGTTCTGGGATTTTTGCTCACCGTTCTTGTGATCATTTTGACCCCACGGGGTGAGATCTTGCGTGGAGCCCCAGATCGAGGGAGATTATCAGTGGTCTTGTATGTCTTCCATTTCCTAATAATTGCTCCCACAGTTGATTTCTTCAAACCAAGCTGCTTACCTATTGCAGATTCAGTCTTCCCAGCCTGGTGCAGGTCTACAATTTTGTTTCTGGTGTCCTTTGACAGCTCTTTGGTCTTGGCCATAGTGGAGTTTGGAGTGTGACTGTTTGAGGTTGTGGACAGGTGTATTTTATACTAATAACAAGTTCAAACAGGTGCCATTAATACAGGTAATGAGTGGAGGACAGAGGAGCCTCTTAAAGAAGAAGTTACAGGTCTGTGAGAGCCAGAAATCTTGCTTGTTTGTAGGTGACCAAATACTTATTTTCCACCATAATTTGCAAATAAATTCATAAAAAATCCTACAATGTGATTTTCTGGATTTTTTTTCCTCCATTTGTCTGTCATAGTTGACGTGTACCTATGATGAAAATTACAGGCCTCTCTCATCTTTTTAAGTGGGAGAACTTGCACAATTGGTGGCTGACTAAATACTTTTTTCCCCCACTGTATATAACATTTATAAAAGCATTTACAACTACATATTTCTGAAAGTTATTATAAAGTGTTACCATAATGTCATTTGTAATGCTTTTCAAACATTGAGCTCTAATTCCAACTGTATCATGCCATTCCAGTCTTCTCTGTGACAGTATTGGTTGTCTAAACGTTGTGTTACTGTTGCAGAGTGTCCCTGGCAGACAGATTGGCTGGTTATAAATCTGGCTGTTTAGACTGGGGACGAGAGGGACTGGGGCTGTTGGCTGGGTTTAGATGCCCAATCCATTTTCCAGGCTTTTAGATATGTGTACACACGCGCCTGCCCTGCCTGGCCACTCCACACGCCACAATGCACTGCTGCCCTACCCAGCGAGCCTTATAGAGCACAACAGACAAAAAGCGTGCAGTTCCCTGTCCCTCTCCCCCAGACAGGGACAATGACAAACCTTTAGACACCCAGATGGGCCTCGCTGCCAGCTGGACTCACTTTATCTATCTATCGCTCTCTCTCGCTCTGGTTCTCTTTCATCCACTCTGTCTCTCTCTCTCTCTCACTGACTGAGAGAAGACATTTATTCTCTTTCTGTAGTTATATGTCCATATGGTTCTCTTTCATCCACTCTGTCTAACTCTCTCTCTCTCACTTCTCCTCTCCCCCCCCTCTCTTACAGGTGGGTTTGTTTAACTTCCGGCCATCTGTGCGTCCCGTCCCATTGGAGGTTCACATCCACGGCTTCCCAGGACAGCACTACTGCCCCCGCATGGCCAGCATGAACAAGCCTGTGTTCCAAGGTACATTATAAACTGGATTGTTCGAGCCCTGAATGCTGATTGGCTGACAGCCGTGGTATATCAGACCGTATACCACGGGTATGACAAAACATTTATTTTTACTGCTCTAATTATGTTGGTAACCAGTTTATAATAGCAATAAGGCACCCCTGGGGTGCCTTATTGCGACGTGTTGCGTCGTGCATAAGAACAGCCCTTAGCCGTGGTATATTTTTTGCATATACCACAACCCCCTCGAACCTTATTGCTTTAGTATACCACACACAGAAACACACACTAAGTATGCAACTACACTGTGCACCCCCCCCCCCCCCCCCCCCCTCTCTCTCTCCAGCAATTCGCAGTCACTCTCCAGCCAAGCCTGTTCTGATCTTTGTGTCGTCGCGGCGACAGACTCGTCTGACAGCTCTTGACCTGATAGCCTTCCTGGCCACCGAGGACGACCCCAAACAGTGGCTGCACCAGGACGAGACTCAGGTGACCAGGCTTATACTTTTTACATCCTAGTGGAACTAACCCTGTAGTCAGAGCTGTGTACAACATCTACAGTATTTCTCTTTCTCTTTCTCTCTCGCTCGCTCTCTCTTAGTCTCTCTCTCTTTCTCTCTCTCTCGCTCGCTCTCTCTTTCTCTATCTCCTCTTTCTTTCTCTCTGTTCTTCTATTCCTCCAATCTTCCTATTCCTCATCCTCTCTGCTTTCTCGTCCTCTCCTTCCTCCTCCTGATATTCTCTCTCTCTAAGCACTGGTTTTAGTGTAATTACAGAGGGAACTCAAACCATCTTCTACAGGAAAAGCCTGTGTCATCTCCCATTATTTTCTCTGCATACTTTAGGATTATTTCAAGATGTGAGAAAATGTGCTCTGATAGAAGATGGGCTGTAATTACCTTAACATGTGTGTCTGACAATAGGGTCCCATAAACAAGGAGGATTTCTTACAATACATACATACAGTGAAGGAAAAAAGTATTTGATCCCCTGCTGATTTTGTACGTTTGCCCACTGACAAAGACATGATCAGTCTATAATTTTAATGGTAGGTTTATTTTAACAGTGAGAGACAGAATAACAACAAAGAAATCCTGAAAAACGCATGTCAAAAATGTTATAAATTGATTTGCATTTTAATGAGGGAAATAAGTACTTGACCCCTCTGCAAAACATGACTTGGTGGCAAAACCCTTGTTGGCAATCACAGAGGTCAGACGTTTCTTGTAGTTGGCCACCAGGTTTGCACACCTCAGGAGGGATTTTGTCCCACTCCTCTTTGCAGATCTTCTCCAAGTCATTAAGGTTTCGAGGCTGACGTTTGGCAACTCGAACCTTCAGCTCCCTCCACAGATTTTCTATGGGATTAAGGTCTGGAGACTGGCTAGGCCACTCCAGGACCTTAATGTGCTTCTTCTTGAGCCACTCCTTTGTTGCCTTGGCCGTGTGTTTTGGGTCATTGTCGTGCTGGAATACCCATCCACGACCCATTTTCAATGTCCTGGCTGAGGGAAGGAGGTTCTCACCCAAGATTTGACGGTACATGGCCCCGTCCATCATCCCTTTGATGCGGTGAAGTTGTCCTGTCCCCTTAGCAGAAAAACACCCCCAAAGCATAATGTTTCCACCTCCATGTTTGACGGTGGGGATGGTGTTCTTGGGATCATAGGCAGCATTCCTCCTCCTCCTAACACGGCGAGTTGAGTTGATGCCAAAGAGCTCGATTTTGGTCTCATCTGACCACAACACTTTCACCCAGTTCTCCTCTGAATCATTCAGATGTTCATTGGCAAACTTCAGACGGGCCTGTATATGTGCTTTCTTGAGCAGGGGGACCTTGCGGGCGGTGCAGGATTTCAGTCCTTAACGGCGTAGTGTGTTACCAATTGTTTTCTTGGTGACTATGGTCCCAGCTGCCTTGAGATCATTTACAAGATCTTCCTGTGTAGTTCTGGGCTGATTCCTCACCGTTCTCATGATCATTGCAACTCCACGAGGTGAGATCTTGCATGGAGCCCCAGGCCGAGGGAGATTGACAGTTATTTTGTGTTTCTTCCATTTGCGAATAATCGCACCAACTGTTGTCACCTTCTCACCAAGCTGCTTGGCGATGGTCTTGTAGCCCATTCCAGCCTTGTGTAGGTCTACAATCTTGTCCCTGACATCCTTGGAGAGCTCTTTGGTCTTGGACATGGTGGAGAGTTTGGAATCTGAATGATTGATTGCTTCTGTGGACAGGTGTATTTTAAAACAGGTAACAAACTGAGATTAGGAGCACTCCCTTTAAGAGTGTGCTCCTAATCTCAGCTCATTACCTGTATAAAAGACACCTGGGAGCCAGAAATCTTTCTGATTGAGAGGGGGTAAAATACTTACTTCCCTCATTAAAATGCAAATCAATTTTTTAACATTTTTGACATGCGTTTTTCTGGATTTTTGTTGTTGTTATTCTGTCTCTCACTGTTCAAATAAACCTTCCATTACAATTATAGACTGATCATTTCTTTGTCAGTGGGCAAACTTACAAAATGAGCAGGGGATCAAATACTTTTTTCCCTCACTGTATAGGGTCCCATAAACAAGGAGAATTTCTTACAATACACACACACACACACACACACACACACACACACACACACACACACACAAGCTATCTCTCTCTCCCTCCATCTATCTCTCTCATACAAACACACACTAAAAAACGCTAAAACAATGTGTTTGCTCAGGCCTGCCAGAACCCCAGGATACAGAGAGCTGAGCAGAGCCGTGTTGGATGTGTGTCTGGTGTATAATCCCTCATATTGGGCCTTATAGAGTCACAGTCGGCTTGGCATTGTAAAATATGGATATTAACATGTTTTATGGGCTGCTCGCCTTTCACACCAAGCCTGTGGTCTGAGGGAAATATAGAGCTCTGACTGACATCAAACCCCAACTCCTAAAATATACACACACAATGCAAACTAGTCCTTAATACTGTATATACAGCAGAAATACATTTCGTCCTTTTTTCAGCTCCACATTTCGTGTGTGTGTGCGCGAAAGAACCTTACCTGGCATTTACTGTATGTGTATTTTTAGAGTGTGTGTGTTACACTGGCCTTAACCCTGTGTGAGTTGACCTGGCCCTGCAGTGTGTGTGTTCCAGTGATATATGCCGCTCCCTGCTGTGTTTCTGTACTGGCCGTGTAGCTGCTGGAGTCCCTGTGGTTTGAGTGACAGGCGGCTGGCGCAAGCTGCCTAAGTCTCAGTGGGGGTCCCTCCCTCCATCCCGCCCTCCCTCTCCTCTCTGCCCGAGTTAGCTTTACGATCTCTCTATTACGTCCTATGCTGCAGTTAGCCCCGCTCCCTCCTTCATTCCTCTGAACATGTACAGTGGCTTGCGAAAATATTCACCCCCCTTGGCATTTTTCCTATTTTGTTGCCTTACAACCTGGAATGAAAATGGATCTTTTGGGAGTTTGTATCATTTGATTTACACAATATGCCTACCACTTTGAAGATGCAAAATATTTTTTATTGTGAAACAAACAAGAAATAAGACAAAAAAACGGAAAACTTGATCGTGCATAACTATTCACCCCCCCCAAAGTCAATACTTTGTAGAGCCACCTTTTGCAGCTATTACAACTGCAAGTCTCTTGGGGTATGTCTCTATAAGCTTGGCACATCTAGCCACTGGGATTTTTGCCTATTCTTCAAGGCAAAACTGCTCCAGCTCCTTCGTTGGATGGGTTCCACTGGTGTAGAGCAATCTTTAAGTCTTACCACAGATTCTCAATTGGATTGAGGTCTGGGCTTTGACTAGGCCATTCCAAGACATTTAAATGTTTCCCCTTAAACCACTCGAGTGTTGCTTTAGCAGTATGCTTAGGGTCATTGTCCTGCTGGAAGGTGAACCTCCGTCCCAGTCTCAAATCTCTGGAAGACTGAAACAGGTTTCCCTCAAGAATGTCCCTGTATTTAGCGCCATCCATCATTCCTTCAATTCTGACCAGTTTCCCAGTCCCTGCCGATGAAAAACATCCCCACAGCATGATGCTGCCACCACCATGCTTCACTGTTTGGATGGTGTTCTCGGGGTGATGAGAGGTGTTGGGTTTGCGCCAGACATAGTGTTTTCGTTGATGGCCAAAAAGCTCAAATTTAGTCTCTTCTGACCAGAGTACCTTCTTCCATATGTTTGGGGAGTCTCCCACAAGCCTTTTGGCGAACACCAAACGTGTTTGCTTATTTTTTTCTTCAAGCAATGTCTTTGTGCTGGCCACTCCATAAAGCCCAGCTCTGTGGAGTGTACGGCTTAAAGTGGTCCTATGGACAGATACTCAAATCTCCGCTGTGGAGCTTTGCAGCTCCTTCAGGGTTATCTTTGGTCTCTTTGTTGCCTCTCTGATTAATGCCCTCCTTGCCTGGTCCATGAGTTTTGGTGGGCGGCCCTCTCTTGGCAGGTTTGTTGTGGTGCCATATTCTTTCCATTTTTTAGTAATGGATTTAATGGTGCTCTGTGGGATGTTCAAAGTTTCGGATATTTTTTTATAACCCAACCCTGATCTGTACTTCTCCACAACTTTGTCCCTGACTTGTTTGGATAGCTCCTTGGTCTTCATGGTGCCGCTTGCTTGGTGGTGGCCCTTGCTTAGTGGTGTTGCAGACTCTGGGGCCTTTCAGAACAGGTGTATATATATTGAGATCATGTGACACTTAGATTGCACACAGGTGGACTTTATTTAACTAATTATGTGACTTCTGAAGGTAATTGGTTGCACCAGATCTTATTTAGGGGCTTCATAGCAAAGGGGGTGAATACATATGCATGCACCACTTTTCCGTTATTAATTAACTTCACCAATTTTGACTATTTTGTGTATGTCCATTACATGAAATCCAAATAAAAATCCATTTAAATTACAGGTTGTAATGCAACAAAATAGGAAAAACGCCAAGGGTGTTTTTCCTATTCTGCTCATGTACAACGATGTCTTCTTCATCATGGATGTGTCTTCTGGTCCTACACTGTGTACTGGTTTACTGTGTCTCTTATTGGTCGACGGGATAAGGTCTCATGCTGTCATAGGTTGATGAGATAAGGTCTCATGCTGTGATTGGTTAATGTTCCCCAGATGACAGACATCATCGCCACGGTGAGGGAGTCCAACCTGAAGCTGACGTTGGCGTTCGGTATCGGCATGCACCACGCTGGACTACACGAGAGAGACAGGAAGACTGTGGAGGAACTGTTTGTCAACTGCAAGATCCAGGTAGGACCCTGATAGGTCCAGGTAGGACCAGGTAGGACCCTGATAGGTCCAGGTAGAACCAGGTAGGACAGTGGCATGCAGACAGAAAACTCACACAGGTATGACACAGACAGGTGACACAGGTAGAAAACAAATAGTAGATTCTCATACATTAATGATACACAAAGAGGATCATCCTATAGGTATATACATATTGAATAGTTACAGATATATAAATCAATGTTGCAGGTATGACACTGAAGGTGTTAATGCTTTACTTTGTTAAATCCATGACAGGTATGACACTCTAATCTCTCTGTCTCCAGATACTAATAGCCACCAGCACTCTGGCCTGGGGAGTCAACTTCCCTGCCCATCTGGTCATTGTCAAAGGTACTGAGTACTACGATGGGAAGACCAGACGCTACGTGGACTACCCCATCACAGGTACAGGCTCATGTTCAGTTTTTTCCATCACTGTTTCTTTATTAAATTAAATCTACTTATTTTTTCCTGTCAGGTCAAATACTCTCCATTTGGAAGTGAGTTCGAAAATCCAGTACATCCATGTGTTGTTTTCATCTAAATGTGTAGATGTGGTTTGTCTCTCCTGTAGTTACAGTAGGTATTAGTTGTTCTGAAGAAAGTGGTTCAGCTCTCTACGCCTGTAGTAGTTCCATTTGGACTGTGTTTACAGTAGTTGTGTTGTGGTCTCTCCAGACGTGCTGCAGATGATGGGCCGTGCAGGCCGCCCTCAGTATGATGACCAGGGCAAAGCTGTGATCCTGGTCCACGACATCAAGAAAGACTTCTACAAGAAGTTCCTCTATGAACCCTTCCCTGTTGAGTCCAGGTGAGAGGCTTTCCTTTGGCTTTGTGGTGATTTTACATAGTGAAGGCCATTGCTACAGTGCTTGTAACTTGGTCTCAGTGCATTTAACATTGTGGGGGGGGGGAACTCGACTCTCTTTCACTACCACCTCTTCCTCAGTCTCATGGGTGTGCTGTCAGACCATCTGAATGCTGAGATTGCTGCAGGGACCATCACCTCTAAACAGGACGCTATGGACTACATCACCTGGACGTACTTCTTCCGCAGGCTGGTCATGAACCCCAGGTAGGTTTTGATTATGTTTTAGACTTTTTATGATGATTCATCACAAAAATGTAACCCAGAAATTCCAGTTGTGAAGTTTCAGTAATTTTGGAAGCTAATTGAGAGTGGCTACCACATTCTGAAGTCTGATATGGCAACTAATGACAAGTTCAATCTGAAGAACCTCAGAATAAGTCACAGTTTTTTCCCCCTCCCTTGGTAGAACCCATGGGGCGGCGCACAATTGGCCCAGCGTCGTCCAGGGTAGGGGAGGGAATGGCCGGCAGGGATGTAGCTCAGTTGGTAGAGCATGGCGTTTGCAACGCCAGGGTTGTGGGTTCGATTCCCACAGGAGGCCAGTATGAAAAAATTAAATAAAATGTATGCACTCACTTAACTGTAAGTCGCTCTGGATAAGAGCGTCTGCTAAATGACGTAAATGTAGAAGCAGAAAAGGGCTACATGTCTTTCCAAGAAATGCCCCCCTAAAATGTTTTGACAGTGAAATGGTGTGAGTACATGATAACCAGTCATACATTTAACTGATTCATTACCAGTGAATGTTGAGGAGACAAACAATAGCTGTTGTTCATGGCAGCACCATGGAAACCACAGGGTCATCTTCAGAAGCCACGGTCACACACCAGGGCTATATCTATCTATCTATCTATCTATCGATCTATCGATCTATCGATCTATAGATATACACACATACAGTGAGGGGTAAAAAGTATTTGATCCCCTGCTGATTTTGTACGTTTGCCCACTGACAAAGAAATGATCAGTCTATAATTTTAATGGTAGGTTTATTTGAACAGTGAGAGACAGAATAACAACAGAAAAATCCAGAAAAACGCAAAAATGTTATAAATTGATTTGCATTTTCTCAATCAGAAAGATTTCTGGCTCCCAGGTGTCTATTCTACAGGTAACGAGCTGAGATTAGGAGCACACTCTTAAAGGGAGTGCTCCTAATCTCAATTTGTTACCTGTATAAAAGACACCTGTCCACAGAAAATCAATCAATCAGATTCCAAACTCTCCACCATGGCCAAGACCAAAGAGCTCTCCAAGGATGTCAGGGACAAGATTGTAGACCTACACAAGGCTGGAATGGGCTACAAGACCATCGCCAAGCAGCTTGGTGAGAAGGTGACAACAGTTGGTGCGATTATTCGCAAATGGAAGAAACACAAAAGAACTGTCAATCTCACTCGGCCTGGGGCTCCATGCAAGATCTCACCTCGTGGAGTTGCAATGATCATGAGAACGGTGAGGAATCAGCCCAGAACTACACGGGAGGATCTTGTCAATGATCTCAAGGCAGCTGGGACCATAGTCACAAAGAAAACAATTGGTAACACACTACGCCGTGAGGTCCCCCTGCTCAAGAAAGCACATATACAGGGCCGTCTGAAGTTTGCCAATGAACATCTGAATGATTCAGAGGAGAACTGGGTGAAAGTGTTGTGGTCAGATGAGACCAAAATCGAGCTCTTTGGCATCAACTCAACTCGCCGTGTTAGGAGGAGGAGGAATGCTGCCTATGACCCCAAGAACACCATCCCCACCGTCAAACATGGAGGTGGAAACATTATGCTTTGGGGGTGTTTTTCTGCTAAGGGGACAGGACAACTTCACCTCATCAAAGGGATGATGGACGGGGCCATGTACCGTCAAATCTTGGGTGAGAACCTTCCCTCAGCCAGGACATTGAAAATGGGTCGTGGATGGGTATTCCAGCACGACAATGACCCAAAACACACGGCCAAGGCAACAAAGGAGTGGCTCAAGAAGAAGCACATTAAGGTCCTGGAGTGGCCTAGCCAGTCTCCAGACCTTAATCCCATAGAAAATCTGTGGAGGGAGCTGAAGGTTCGAGTTGCCAAACGTCAGCCTCGAAACCTTAATGACTTGGAGAAGATCTGCAAAGAGGAGTGGGACAAAATCCCTCCTGAGGTGTGCAAACCTGGTGGCCAACTACAAGAAACGTCTGACCTCTGTGATTGCCAACAAGGGTTTTGCCACCAAGTCATGTTTTGCAGAGGGGTCAAGTACTTATTTCCCTCATTAAAATGCAAATCAATTTATAACATTTTTGACATGCGTTTTTCAGGATTTCTTTGTTGTTATTCTGTCTCTCACTGTTAAAATAAACCTACCATTAAAATTATAGACTGATCATGTCTTTGTCAGTGGGCAAACGTACAAAATCTGCAGGGGATCAAATACTTTTTTCCTTCACTGTATGTATGTGTGTGTGTGTGTGTGTGTGTGTGTAAAGTAGAACACTGAGCGGCTATTCCTCGACCTAGAACCTAACGCTTCAATGTAGCCAAAATATTTGTCATTTAACTTTTAAATGTATTACCTTTTACAGTGGGGGAAAAAAGTATTTAGTCAGCCACCAATTGTGCAAGTTCTCCCACTTAAAAAGATGAGAGAGGCCTGTAATTTTCATCATAGGTACACGTCAACTATGACAGACAAAATGAGAAAATAAAATCCAGAAAATCACATTGTAGGATTTTTTATGAATTTATTTGCAAATTATGGTGGAAAATAAGTATTTGGTCAATAACAACTTTGTTATATACCCTTTGTTGGCAATGACACAGGTCAAACGTTTTCTGTAAGTCTTCACAAGGTTTTCACACACTGTTGCTGGTATTTTGGCCCATTCCTCCATGCAGATCTCCTCTAGAGCAGTGATGTTTTGGGGCTGTCGCTGGGCAACACGGACTTTCAACTCCCTCCAAAGATTTTCTATGGGGTTGAGATCTGGAGACTGGCTAGGCCACTCCAGGACCTTGAAATGCTTCTTACGAAGCCACTCCTTCGTTGCCCGGGCGGTGTGTTTGGGATCATTGTCATGCTGAAAGACCCAGCCACGTTTCATCTTCAATGCCCTTGCTGATGGAAGGAGGTTTTCACTCAAAATCTCACGATACATGGCCCCATTCATTCTTTCCTTTACACGGATCAGTCGTCCTGGTCCCTTTGCAGAAAAACAGCCCCAAAGCATGATGTTTCCACCCCCATGCTTCACAGTAGGTATGGTGTTCTTTGGATGCAACTCAGCATTCTTTGTCCTCCAAACACGACGAGTTGAGTTTTTTACCAAAAAGTTCTATTTTGGTTTCATCTGACCATATGACATTCTCCCAATCCTCTTCTGAATCATCCAAATGCACTCTAGCAAACTTCAGACGGGCCTGGACATGTACTGGCTTAAGCAGGGGGACACGGCTGGCACTGCAAGATTTGAGTCCCTGGCGGCGTAGTGTGTTACTGATGATAGGCTTTGTTACTTTGGTCCCAGCTCTCTGCAGGTCATTCACTAGGTCCACCCGTGTGGTTCTGGGATTTTTGCTCACCGTTCTTGTGATCATTTTGACCCCACGGGGTGAGATCTTGCGTGGAGCCCCAGATCGAGGGAGATTATCAGTGGTCTTGTATGTCTTCCATTTCCTAATAATTGCTCCCACAGTTGATTTCTTCAAACCAAGCTGCTTACCTATTGCAGATTCAGTCTTCCCAGCCTGGTGCAGGTCTACAATTTTGTTTCTGGTGTCCTTTGACAGCTCTTTGGTCTTGGCCATAGTGGAGTTTGGAGTGTGACTGTTTGAGGTTGTGGACAGGTGTATTTTATACTGATAACAAGTTCAAACAGGTGCCATTAATACAGGTAACGAGTGGAGGACAGAGGAGCCTCTTAAAGAAGAAGTTACAGGTCTGTGAGAGCCAGAAATCTTGCTTGTTTGTAGATGACCAAATATTTATTTTCCACCATAATTTGCTAAAAAAATTCATTAAAAATCCTACAATTTGATATTCTGGAGAAAAAAATTCTCAATTTGTCTGTCATAGTTGACGTGTACCTATGATGAAAATTACAGGCCTCTCTCATCTTTTTAAGTGGGAGAACTTGCACAATTGGTGGCTGACTAAATACTTTTTTCCCCCACTGTATATAACATTTATAAAAGCATTTACAACTACATATTTCTGAAAGTTATTATACAGTGTTACCATAATGTCATTTGTAATCCACTCCACTCTAATATAATTCCAGCATCCAAACTGTGCAACGGCCATTCTATTAATGGAACGGGACTTCTGTTACAAAACACCAAAAAGTGTAATGACATTATTGAAATTGTCAAACCAAGCTTTCGATACTGAATAGGAAGGGATGTATTTTCTGTTTGTCGAAATGGACATACTCTACTTGATTGTGGTGTTGAAAACGCAAACCATGATGATAAGTGCACAGAAACCTGTTGGTGGAATTTTTGTAGCATATATTTTATATAAATATAGCATGAAAATATGGAAAATCTGATTTAGACTATACCCCGAACGGTCCCTTATTCTAATGGTTATAGTCATAATAAAAAACTAGTAACAACCAAATTTATACTTATTATTACAGGGATCTGTATTTTTGTTATATATAAAATACAGTACAATGCAATTTAATACAATAGAACTGTAGGTACTTACCTTCAATTAATTTCTCATATAAAGTGTAAAGAACTAAAATAAATGAAGTAATAGTAAAAAATATTGTGATATTACTTTTTACAAATTGATTAAAACTATCGTTTTGTGAATCATAGTTTTACTGATCAACAAAAATAAAAATCATACAGTTAATTGGAAACATGGACTAAAAAAGGTTCCTTAAAAAAATGAATACTATGTAATTTCAAAGGGAAGAGTGATGTATACAATGGATTCCACATTCAGAGTAGTACTCAAGGTCAGGGGTTCCCAAACTCGGTCCTGCCCCCCCCCCCTCCCCGGGTGCACGTTTTGGTTTTGAGGTTTTGAATCAGCTGTGTAGTGCACAAAAAACAAAACTTGCACCCAGGAGGGAAGGGGGGGGCCCAGGACTGAGTTTGAGAAACCCTGTTCTAGGTCATATTAGACTGTCAAGGGGTTGTCTCTCCGTCATTGGGTCTTGCTCTATTTCTCATTGATGATGCTTTCTTTCCGTTACTGGTATTCTTCTCT